GCTCTGATACCACTTTTTAGATCTGATGCTACGTATGGTGTTCCAGATGATGTTGGAACACTGTTTGGAACACGACTTAATTAATTAAGATCCGGGTTAATTACGTACAGTTGCTCAAGAAGAATCACGTGCAGAAATCAAAAGAACACACAATATGACATCGCAGTTCGGTGCGCACACCTACATCTGCGGGGCCATGCCCAGACAGTAAATAGTTCACTATATTCCAAAAATTACAGACACCGGACGGACGTATTCACTCAAGGATTCCCTCCTAGACAATGACGCCGCTGTGACGAATCTCCACAGTGATTATTTAGCGTACACCACATGTCTTCTATTCACCTGGCGAACTCCCTTCATCCGGCAGAGCTTCCTCCCGAAAGTAACAAATTCCTCACCCGAAGGACGATCTCAATAGCGCACTAGGCTCACAAAAACTCACAGACTCTTTTATAAAAATATTCAATTAAACTCGTACTCCCATATGCTCTGAAACAAAGCCTTTAAATAAAGTGAAGAGAATCTCATTCAAATCCGCTCTCAATAAGATCTCTATTATCTCAATTATTCTTTCTCCTATATAGACTCTAAAATATCTTCATGTTACCTTTTCAATCTCCAATTTGAATTATGCAGCAAACTATCAAATTCGAATTAATTATCCTTTCAAACTTTGAATTTAGATTTAACCTTCTCATCCACCATCACCTTTATAGCACATAATCCAATCTATCTTACCTCACCCGTGGCCTTCTTTTCCAAGCTCCTTTCACTTCCAACATTAACAATATATGTTTATCACATGTAAACCTCTCATGCTTCACGTAATACATCAAGCTTGATTTGATTTTAAATATTCTTTTGTAAACGTTATCCGCAAGCTCTAATTTTGAACAACTCCAAACAATAATCGGATTAAGTCAAGAATTCAAATCTGATAACAACTTGATCTTTATGTAAGCTTTATCTCCCATTTAAATTCAAATAACTAAAGCTTTATCTTCTTTTGATCAGGATCTTATCTTTATCTCTCCAAATCTCAACCATTATTTTATTTTTCTTTGACCAAATTTTTATCATTATCTCTTCAAATCTCAACTCAACAAAATCTGTAACTTTAACTTCAAATCTGATTCTGAATCTTCTTCTCTTTTTGGACCTGTTTTTTAAATTTTTATAAAATTACTAATAAATTGCCAACTAATAAAAATACCTAACAGTTAAATTATTTAAGAATAACCTTTTGATGGTGATGGTTTAGACCTTAATTTATTTTAATTGTTTAGTTTGAAACTTAAGTTCTTTAGTAATTTTAGGCCAAATATGCCTAGAAGGATTAAATTCAATCGCTCATTGACTAAAAATAAAGTTAGTAACTAAACTGCAACTTATTAAAAAGTGACGGGTAGCGTAAAATTCCAAAAACAAAAGAGAAATA